AACAAATCTACGTGAGATACGGAGCTAAGCTTCACAAACAGCAAAGCCAAGACTGGGGGAATTTGTCATCCCCCACATCAAGCAAGCAAAGCTCCCTAAGCAAAGCCAAGCCTGAGCCAAAGCCATGATGGTCAGGGCTGGACACCTGTGGGGGTGAGCCTGGAGGGAGTGGCAGGGGCTTTTTTTTGTTTGTTTGTTTGTTTTTTTTTGCTTGTGGAGGGTGCTTGGGGCCCACTGTAGCAAGGTGCGAACCACAGCAGGTTCACCTTGGTCATTAGGTGGGGCTCTTCCCTGGGTTCCTTGCTTCTAGCTTGCCCTATTGTCAGGCTGTTTGTGACTTCCCGCCTCCTGCAGTCATAGCTGAAGCCTCTCAGAACCTGACCTGCCAGGCCCTGGAGGATCTGCCTCTCCTACACTTCTCCCACTTCGGCTCTGCACCTCTGTGGTTCACGTGGTGCCAGCCTCTGCCCGCTCCCTCCTAGCCTTTGAACTTGCTCATTTACCTGCCAGGAAGGGTCTTTCCCCAGCGTGCATTTGCTATCCCTCGCTCCCGTTTTGGCTTTTCTCCAGGTCACCTAAGCGCCACCTTCCCTGTCTACCTGGTCTGTAGCTTCATTCTCTCTCACTTCCTGACATTTGATGTCTCTGTGCTACTTTGTTTCTTTCTTTCTTTCTTTCTTTTTTTTTTTTTTTTTTTGACAGGCAGAGTATAGTCAGTGAGAGAGAGAGAGAGAGAAAGGTCTTCCTTTTGCTGTTGGTTCACCCTCCAATGGCCGCCACGGCTGGCACGCTGCGGCCGGTGCATCGCCCTGATCCGAAGCCAGGAGCCAGGTGCTTTTCCTGGTCTCCCATGCGGGTGCAGGGCCCAAGCACCTGGGCCATCCTCCACTGCACTCCCTGGCCACAGCAGAGAGCTGGCCTGGAAGAGGGGCAACCGGGACAGAATCCGGTGCCCCGACCGGGACTAGAACCCGGTGTGCCAGCGCTGCAAGGTGGAGGATTAGCCTATTGAGCCACGGTGCTGGCCAGACTACTGTGTTTCTTTCCCCCTTAGCTTGTTTTTACCAACAAACATATCCATATTCTGCTTTTTATTTTTAAGATTTTATTTATTTATTTGACAGGTAGAGTTATAGACAGTAAGAGGGAGAGACAGAGAAGTCTTCCATCCGTTGGTTCACTCCCCAGATGGCCAATGGCCATGACCGCCAGAGCTGGGCCAATCCAAAACCAGGAACTAGGAGCTTCTTCCGGTCTCCCACACAGGTGCAGGGGCCCAAGGACTTGGGCCATCTTTTTCTGCTTTCCTAGGCCACAGCAGAGAGCTGGATCAGAAGAGGAGCAGCTGGGACTTGAACCAGCGCCCATATGGGATGCCAACGCTGTAGGTGGAGGATTAACTTACTGCACCACACTGCCGGCCCCACATATTCTGCTTTTTAAAAGACAACTTACGGCCAGTGCCGCAGCTCAATAGGCTAATCATCTGCCTGTGGCGCCGGCACACCGGGTTCTAGTCCCGGTTGGGGCGCCGGATTCTGTCCCGGTTGCTCCTCGTCCAGGCCCACTCTCTGCTGTGGCCTGGGAGTGCAGTGGAGGATGGCCCAAGTGCTTGGGCCCTGCACCCCATGGGAGACCAGGAGAAGCACCTGGCTCCTGGCTTCAGATCAGCGCGATGCTCTGGCTGCAGCGCGCCGGCCGTGGCGGCCATTGGAGGGTGAACCAATGGCAAAAGGAAGACCTTTCTCTCTCTCTCTCTCTCTCTCTCACTGTCCACTTGGCCTGTTCAAAAAAAAAAAAAAAAAAAAAAGACAACTGACTGCCTATCCCCCTATTATGAGAGGGGTGGGAAGAGGTCTGTCTCAAGGCTGATGGCAGCCACTCAGGTATTTGTAGAATTGATGGATGTGACAGGGAATGACATTAAGATCCTGCTCAGACTTCTGGACTCCCTAGCAGGTTAAGTAGTCTCTGAAATCCCTGTGGCAGACATTACAGAACATAGAGGTGATATGGAGGTGATGGGTGAGATCCTAGGTCACTCCAGTGTTGCCGTGAAGTGCTAGGAAATCCAGAGGGGCAGTTCTGAGTCAAGCCGGGAAAAGGCTGCCTACCGTTTTAATTATCAGAAGAGCTGAAAACTGTTGGGTTCTGCTCGCTGGGCCACACTCTGCCAGGCGGTGACTGGTCCGATGACAGGTACGGGCCTGTCCAGGCTAAGACTGAGCACTTTTCATTGGCATCCCAGTGGGCTGTAAGTGTGGAGATGAATTGCACACTGTCCCAGTGTGACGTTAGCACACTGTGCAGGCTGCTGCTGCTGTGGCACTTACTGAGCGAGTCTGCAGTCCCACGGGACCCCCAGGAAGATAACACACGCATGCGGATGGTTTCATCAAATAGTTTCACAGCTCAGAATTTCTGGGGCCCAAACCAAACCAGATGCCTTCTTAGACTATTGCTGCAGTGTGGCTGAGGTGTATCGGGGCTCGCCATTAACGGAGTGCTTCACCTTAAGGGTAACTGCAGCTCAGCCTTTTCTCACCCACCTTGGCTCAAAAAATTACAACTTGTGGCTGCCCATCAACAACCCACAGGAGTCAGATTGATAGAAAAATTGCCTCATTAATTTTCTGCACTGAAAGTAGGAACTTAGCACTTGATCTAGCATTTTAACCTATGTCATTTTAAAATGATTCAAAAAATTTTTTTCCAGCCGGGAACTTAGCACTTGATCTAGCATTTTAACCTATGTCATTTTAAAATGATTCAAAAAATTTTTTTCCGGCCGGCGCCGCGGCTCACTAGGCTAATCCTCCGCCTAGCGGCGCTGGCACACCAGGTTCTAGTCCCGGTCGGGGCGCCGGATTCTGTCCTGGTTGCCCCTCTTCCAGGCCAGCCCTCTGCTGTGGCCAGGGAGTGCAGTGGAGGATGGTCCAAGTGCTTGGGCCCTGCACCCCATGGGAGACCAGGAAAAGCACCTGGCTCCTGGCTCCTGCCATCGAATCAGCGCGGTGCGCCGGCCGCAAAGGAAGACCTTTCTCTCTGTCTCTCTCTCTCACTGTCCACTCTGCCTGTCAAAAAAAAATTTTTTTTTTCAAAATATGTGGAAAATGTGTATTATGAAAATGCTCTGGGTGGATTTTGGAAAAATTTCTTGTGCCAAAATGGACTCAGGTTTCATTTTTTCCAGAAATTGAAGGGCCCTTATATATGTATTACATAAACACACAGAGACTGACGACTTCAAGACAGCCTATAGAAAGAGGTGTACTGGGCTTTCTTAGTAGCCAGTTAAAAAAATTTCAGGGGCCAGCACTGTGGTGCCGACATCCCAAATGGGTGCCAGTTTGAGTCCTGGCTGCTCTGCTTCCATTCCAGCTGCCTGCTAATGGCCTGGGAAAAGCAGTAAAAGATGGCTCAAGTCCTTGGGCCCCTGGCTTTGGACTGGCCCAGCTCTGGCCATTGCAGCCATTTGTAACTCTGCCTTTCAAATGAATTTTTTTTAAAAAAGTTTTTTTTAGGCCAGCGCTGCGGCTCAATAGGCTAATCATCTGCCTGCGGCACCGGCACACCAGGTTCTAGTCCCGGTCAGGGCGCCGGATTCTGTCCCGGTTGCCCCTCGTCCAGGCCAGCTCTCTGCTGTGGCCAGGGAGTGCAGTGGAGGATGGCCCAAGTCCTTGGGCCCTGCACCCCATGGGAGACCAGGAGAAGCACCTGGCTCCTGCCTTCAGATCAGCGTGGTGCGCCGGCTGCAGTGCGCTGGCCGCGGCGGCCATTGGAGGGTGAACCAACGGCAAAGGAAGACCTTTCTCTCTGTCTCTCTCTCACTGTCCACTCTGCCTGTCCAAAAAAAAAAAAAAAAAGTTTTTTTAAAAATTTCTTTTAGAGACAGACACACAGAAAGCAAGCTCCCGTCTACTCGTTCACTCTCCAAATGCCTGCAATGGCCAGGCCTTGACTAGGCTGAAGCCGGAAGTCAGGAAACGAATTACTTGATCATCCCTGCTGCCTCTCGGGGTCTGTGTTAGGACGCTGGGGTCAGGAGCCACTTCTGGCTCTTATGAATTCTGCAAGCAGAGGAATTTGGAGCCAGAGCCAAGAATCAAACTCCGGCACTCTGATGTGGATGTGGCCATCTTATTATTATTATTTCAAGATTTATTCATTTGAAAGAGTTACAGAGAGAGAGAGAGAGAGATCTTCCATCTGCTAATCTACTCCCCAAATGGCCACAATGGCCAGGGATGGGCCAGACTGAAGCCAGGAGCTGCTTCTAGATCTTCCACGTGGGTGCAGGGCCAAGTACTTGGGCCATCTGCTGCTGCTTTCCCAGGTGAGTTATCAAGGAGCTGGATCAGAAGTGGAGCAGCTGAGACTTGAACCTGTGCCCAGATAGGATGCCAGCACTGCAGGCAGTGGCTTTACCCACTATGCCACAATGCCAGCCCCTTGGGATGTAGGTATCTTAACTGCTAGGCTAAATGCTCATCTCACCTAGCATCTGATTTCTGTCTTCAGTGACTTTTTTTCTAGACTTTAACCCTCACAACAGCCTTTTCCTATTTTTGGTATCTTGTCATCTCCATATAGTAGTGTGCTCCCACATTCCTCCTTGGATTCCATCTTACTCTGAGGCCTACTAACGTGACAATGGCAGGTGAATGAATGAAGTGTAGTGACAGCTATCCATGGTGGATGAGCAGCTGATCTTGCAGAATTCAGGAGCGTCAGCGTCTGTCACTTGGTGACTGCAGTGTAGTGTCACAACGTCCGCATAGAGCAGGAGCATTAGAGAGACCAGGGAAGCCTTCATCCAGCAGAGGGCATTGCGGAAGGAGGCTCTGGTGGTGTCCTGCTCTGTTGCAGCAGCTCACAGAGGCGTGGGAGGCTGCCTATCGTGTGTGTGTCAGAGACACCCCACCCTGAACTCCTGCCCCGCGCTACGTAGCAGAGCTGTGCTGACCTGCATGTTGCTTTCTCTCTATCCCACCTTGTAGGTGCTCACGTGACCATCACAGATCGAAAAGTAGCGTTAGAATTTCTTAAATCAAACGTTCAAGCCAACCTACCTCCCCACGTCCAACCCAAAGCTGTTGTGAGGGAGCTGACGTGGGGACAAAACCTGGGGAGTTTCTCACCTGGAGAATTTGACCTGATACTTGGAGCTGACATCATCTATTTAGAAGAAACGTTTGCGGACCTTCTTCAGACCCTGGAGCATCTCTGTAGCGAGCAGGCTGTCATCCTTCTAGCTTGCCGAATCCGCTATGAACGCGACAACAACTTCCTGGCAATGCTGGAGCAGCAGTTTACTGTGAGTAAGGTTCATTATGATCCTGAGAAAGACGTCCATATTTACAAAGCACACAAGAGAAACCAGAGGGAGGAATTATAGTCGGTTAGAACTCGCAAGCACAGCGTCATCGAGTGTGTCAACCGGGGTCCTAGCCCGGGACTCCAGCCATAGCAGCTTCCTGTACAGAAAGGGTAACTAGACCTTCGCAAGGGCCAGAACACCTGTACGGAATTAAAACACCACAGTGCTTCATCCTGCGCCGGCGTCTACTTGGATTTTATGCCCTCTGCACTTTCATGGACATTAAAGCAGAGTGTGGGCTTTGGGTTGTGTTGTATCCGTGTCTGTGTCCCGGGCTGCTGCCCCTCCACCATTTCACGGATGACATGGTCGCACTGCTCTCTAGATGTCTTTACCAGGTCGTGTCTTCTCAGGTTTTTTTTTTTTTTTTTTTTTTTTTTAGATTTTAAAAAATTTATTTGGAAGAGTTACAGAGAGAGCTTCCATATGCTGGTTCACTCCCCTAATGGCTGCAATGGCCCGAGCTGAGCTGGTCTAGAACCTGAAGCTAGGAGCTTTTCTTGGGTCTCCCAGGTGGGTGCAGGAGCCCAAGCACTTGGGCCATGCTCTGCTGCCTTCCCAGGCACATTGGCAGGGAGCTGGATCAGAAGTGGAGCAGCCAAGACTCAAACCGGCACCCATGTGGGACGCTGGTGCTGCAGGCCGGGGCTTTAACCCACTGTGCTACAGCGCTAGCCCCTCTTGTCAGTTGTTTTAAACACACTCTGAGATATATCATGTTGTGTCCAGTTGCCAAATTCCCTGAATAGAAAACGAGGTTCAACACACATTCCTCAAGCAGTTAGTGCTTTTTAAATCTTTTGGTCCATTTAGATGTTAACCATTAATTATGATGTCAGTTTTCTGGGAATCTCATACCATGCTTTTGATATGGTTTTAGGTATGTAAATAAAGGAATAAATAAAAACAGATTTTTAGTTTTCTATATATATTTAAAGATTTATTTTACTTTTTATTTGAAAGGTAGAGTGACAGACAGAGGGAGAGAGATCTCTTTGCTGGTTCCCTCCCCTAAATGGTTGCCAATAGCTTAGGCTGGAACTCCATATGAGTCATCTACATGGGTGGCAGGGGCGCCTGGCTGCTTTCTCGGGTGCATTAGCAGGAAGTGGATCAGAAGCAGAGGACCTGGCACTAGAGCAGGCACGCTGATGTGTGATGCCAGTGTCATAAGCAGTGACTTAATCTGCTGCGCTACAACACTGGCCCCTTATATATATGTTTATTTTACCAAAGTTTTATTTTGAAAGTGTCATTCCCCAGATGGCTGCAACAGCAGAGGCTGAGGCTAGGCCAAGCTGAAGCCAGGAGCTGGCAACTCCATCGTGGTCTCCCACATGGGTGGCAGGAACTCACATACTTGAGCCATCACCTGCTGAATTCCAGGTACAATAGCCAGGAACTGCATCAGAAGTACAGTAGCTTGGCCAGCGCCGCAGCTCACTTGGCTAATCCTCCGCCTTGCGGCGCCGGCACCCTGGGTTCTAGTCCTGGTTGGGGTGCAGGATTCTGTCCCGGTTGCTCCTCTTTCAGTCCAGCTCTCTGCTGTGGCCCCGGAGTGCAGTGGAGGATGGCCCAGGTCCTTGGGCCCTGCACCCGCATGGGAGACCAGGAGGAAGCACCTGGCTTCTGGCTTCGGATGGGCATAGCTCCGGCGGTAGTGGCCATTTGAGGGGTGAACCAACGGAAGGGAGACTTGTCTCTCTGTCTCTCTCTCTCTCACTAACTCTGCCTGTCGAAGAGAAAAAAAAAAAAAAAAAAAAGAAGTGCAGTAGCTGAAACTTGAACCAGTACTGATAGGGGATGCTGGCACCCCAAGCTGCAGCTTAATCTGCTGTTCCAAATGCCCGTCCCAGTTTTAGCTATTTTTTGAAAGTGCCTACAATCTTTGACTGGAATAGGGTTATAAGCATATTTTTTAATCCCATATTCCATGAACTTCTTTAAGTACTCCCATGTTCTTAGAACTCCACTATAAAGAATGTTCGTCATTTCTGAGTTACCTCCAAAGGGTGGGGTGTGAAGCCTGGTACAGTCTTAAAATAGTTTCTAATAGAAACTATTTGTCGTTTCACACAAAAGGATCAGCATTTTAATTGATCAGAATTCTTGAAGTTCACTGAATACTAGATTGCCCCACTGGTGGGGCAAAAGAACGCTGGCAGGCATGTTTTATCTTAGCAAACACAATTTGTGCTTCGAGAGGATACAGGTGGTACCTTATCCTCAGACTTCAAACGTGAACTTGGTACCCTGCTCATCAGGGGAGTTCAGTGAACACTGACTCACGAAATGAGATCCCTTTACAGCTTTCTTCCTACCTAAATTTCTCTGTTTCTGTGTTCTTGCCCACAGTAAGGAGGCAGTAGATTCTAGGGGGTGTTAACATATAACCTCATACTCACAACAAAATTACCATGAGTTTGTGTAAAAGATTTATCTCCACAATAACTACCATTTGTTATACTTTTAGTTTACTTATGGGAAGCACCAATTCTGAACACATCAAAAATAGAACCGTAATGTACTTTGAAGAGATTACTATGTAATGTGCCCAGTATTGTAGGTGGACCTGGATCTGGAGCCTGACTTGGTATTTGGTGAACTGGACATGGAATCTACCTTAGCACTTACTGCCCCCCGGACCTCCACCTAGAGGCAGGTGGCACCTGCAGAATGGGGCGAGTCCACAGCAGGTGGACACTCATGCCTCTTAGCACTCACACTGAAAGTGTGGAATCTGGGCTGTGCTCAGTCAGCCCTGCTTCACTTCAGAATTTGAGGATTAGAGTTCAAGTTTCTTTCTGCCCTAAAGTCACAATACACTCTTCTTTCTGCAACCAGGGAATGAGGGTGGAAACTTTAGTATCAGTAGAGAATGTTTTGTTGGCCAACAGCGGTTGTTCTGAGAAGAGAAGGGAGAACAGCACAGGTGAAGGAAGGAAAGCTGTGCATGTCACCGCCCTGAGGAAGGCTGGGTTGTTCCTGAAAAATGAAAATGTGCGCTGTAAGGCCTGAAATAAAAACGCTCTTCAACATAAGTAATTCTTCCTTCTCAGTGTCTTGGAGGTATACTGGCTTGTATATATCTGTACTAACTCGTGTGTGTAACAGCCCGAAGTTTCAAAGAACCTGACTCAAAAGAGTCGTGGTTAAATGAACTGTAGTATATCCGTACTACAGGAACAGTTTGGAAGCCAGTCTGTGTAAAAACGGGGCGGGAGGAAGAAATACATACTGTGTTTACATGTGTATGCACAGATTATCATTAAAAAATCAGACTGATGGGGCCAGCACCGTGGCGCTCCTCTTCCAATCCAGCTCTCTGCTATGGCCTGGGAAGGCAGTGGAAGGTGGCCCAGGTTCTTGGGCCCCTGCACCCACGTTGGGGATCCAGAGGGGGGCTCCTGACTCCTGGCTTTGGATCCACGCAGCTCCGGCCGCTGCAGCCATCTGGGGAGTGAACCAACAGGGGGAAAACCTTTCTGTCTCTCCCTCTCACTGTCTGTAACTCTGCCTCTCAAAATAAAAATATTAAAAAAAAAAAGACTGCTTTTTACTATTTGCTCTTTCACACTGTTCAGTTTTCTAAAAGTGTTGCTTATTTTAAAACAATGGTAAAAATATTGTCAAAGTGAAAAGAAACAGTGAGAGAAAATATAAATTACAAGAGTAGAAATATCTTTTTTTTTAAAGGGGCATTTTATTTATTTGAAAGGCCGAGTTAAGGAGAGACAGGTCTTCCATCCATTGGTTCACTCTCCAAATGGCCGCAAAAGCCAGGGTTTGGGTCAGGCTGAAGCCAGGAGTCAGGATCTTTAGGTCTCCCACATGGGTGCAGGGGCCTAAGGACTTGGGCCATCCTTCACTGCTTTCCTAGGCATATTAGTAGGGAGCGGGATCCGAAGTGGAGCTGTCGGGGTTCAAACCAGTGCCCAAATGGGATGCCGGCACACATAGGAAATATGCTTGAAATCATTAGCCATTAGGGAAATGCAAATCAAAACTATAAGGCATCACTTCACATTCATGAGGATGACTACAATTAAAAATGGCAAATGTTGATGGGGCTGGCTCTGTGGCATAGCAGGTAAAGCCACCGCCTATGACACTAGCATCCCATATAGGCTCTGGTTCAAATATCTTGGCTGCTCCACTTCCGATCCAGCTCTGTTATTGTGCCTGGGAAAGCAGCAGGAGATGGCCTAAGAGCTTCGGACCCTGCATCCATGTGGGAGACCTGGAAGAAGCTCCTGGCTTTGGTCTTGCTCAGCCCTGGCCATTTGGGGAGTGAACCAGCGGGAAGATCTGTCTCTTCCCCTGCCTCTGTGAGGCTGACTTCCAAATAAATAAATCTTAGAAAGAAGATAAGGAAGGAAACAGAAAAAGCAGATACAATATATATATTTAAAAAAGTGTTGGTGACAATGAGAAATTGGAACCTTCAAATACCAAGGATATGGCTTCTCAGTCACCCAGCATTAATTACCACATACTCCTAAGAATAGCAAACGGACTCATCCGGATACTTGTAAATGATTATTTGTAGCAGCACTGTCACAACAGCCCAAAGTAGAGAACCTCCCAAAAGTCCTTCGGCAGATGGCCAGATATACAAACATGCAGTACATACATAATACAATGGTGTTCTGCTATAAAAAGGAATGAAGTATTGATATGCGCTCCACTGTGGATAAGCCTCAGGAACGTTAAGGCCAAGAAACCAGAAAAGTACACATCTCATGACCCCTCAAAAACAGAAAGCGTGTACACTGGTGGCTGTGAGGGGCCAGAGAGAGGGAAGGGGGAGGTTCAGGGAGCAATTTGGGATGATGTTTCATTACTCGATGGAAGTGGTGACTGCACAAACAACACTAATTGTTACCCTGAAATGTTTTTGTAACCTGCACTTCTATTAAAAAGCAGAGACCGTACTCAAACTCCTAGATTACCATTCTTTTCATCTGATGTTAGGTCCTTATTAGAATTATCAGCCCAGCTGGTCAGTTTTGTGGAGAAATGAAAAATGCCATGAGGAAGGAGAGTAATTTTTGAGGCAGTAGCGCTTTTTTTGAGTTTGCCTTACCTGAGTGGACTGTGGCACCGTTCACAAGATGGAGAAGCAAGCTGATGGAGAATATTTGGGGGAGAAATTAAGACCAGTGTTTTGCAATCTGAGTGGCAATACCGTCTGAGTCTAGAATTCACTGGAGGTCAAGGCTGTAACTGTTAAAAGGTGTTCTCAGAACTGTATGGTTGTGTATGGTCTTACAGCATCTTGATGAAAGGCACTTTATTTTTGAAAAGCAGAGAGAGCGAGCTTTTATACACTGGTTTATTCCCCAAATACCCACACTAGCACAGGCTGGGCCAGGCTGACCCCAGGAGCCTGGAAATCAATCTGATCTCCTGAGTGGCAGGGACCCAAGCAGTTGAGCCATCACCTGTTGCTTTCCAGGATGTTTAGTAGCAGGAAATTGGAATTGGAAGCAAGGCTGGGTCTTGAACCCACACCCTCTTGATAATGCAAGCTTCCTAAGTGGCATCTTAAATGCTGTGCCAAATGCCTGCCCTGGAAAGGGACTTAATTCTTGCCACATCACTCCTCACAAGTGTGTCAATATATGTATCTGTTAAGTGTCACACTGGAGAGCCAAGCATGTGGATGTGGTTACAGATGGGCTGACCACAGGTACCACCATTCTCAGCCCAATTCTGGCTTATGCTTGTTGTCCCCATGTAATTACTATCAGCCTTTCACTGAATCTCAAAAACATCTGTGCAATAAATTGTCACCATTCTTTGTAGAAGGAAAAAAATGAAATTCGGGTAATTCTTTCCACATAATGGCAGGTAAAGCAGATTAATAAACCTGGCAATTAGAAACAAGAATAGTTAGGGATAAATAACAGTTTTTAGAACTTGAGTCAGTAGCATAGGAGGGAATCTTTAATTCTTACGCCCAATTTAACAAAGATTAACCACATCCCTTCCTTTTCCCTTCTGTTTTATATGAACACATAATTTCAGAATTCTAAGAGAACCCAAGAAGTTATGTTTTTATTGTTCTTTCAATGCAAAATGCATTTTATGACATCAGAGACAGCCAGTCATTAGTTATCTAAACAGGGCAGTACCTCCAAATCCTTACATAGGCACTGTTGAATCGTACTGTAGAAGAAGTCTTACATTAAAACTTAGGAATGCAGTAAAATCTAACTGAAGATTCAGATCCTTGTTGTTTGAATTAGTTTTCTGTTGCTGCACATGTACAACATAAGCTCGTGATATACTGTAGAATAACCTTATAACCTTTGCTCATTTAACAAGATAAACCTAAATCCAAGAAAATACGACAACACAAATGAAAAACTAAAATACAAGATCCCTCCCCCCAAAAAAGAGACTTACAGAGTTTTTAAAAGCATGTTTATGTGACTGCACATAAATGTTTGTGTAAAAAGGGCATGACAGTTGATACCACAAAGATTACAGTAAGAAAAAGCACTTTATGACAATATTTCACAAATTCACAAGGATCACTTTAATATACAAAGCAATTGCTACCATTCTGAACACAAAGCAGCTAATATGTACATAGTGTTAATAAAATGCATTGTAACTCAGTACATTTTTTCTTTACACGTAAAGCACAAGATTTAGGTAAAAAAATTAAAACAGGGATGTTTTTAGAATGTAGGGAATTTTATTAGAAATGTATTCCCCTCACTAGTTATGTATTTAGTATTCAACTCCAATAGAAACA